TTAGTAAACATAACTATGTGTATGCTTGCGAGTGAGGATACAGGAATCACAAAGAAGTGGTGAGGGGATTTTTTGCGAGTGCTAGAGAGTTGGTTAAAGACGATGGAGAGATTCATGTGACTCATAAGACAGGGCATCCATTTTCCAACTGGAATATAAAAACTCTGGCTGAAGAAAAAGGTTTGTATTTTTACAAAGAAAAGGAATTTGAGACTTGGCAATATCCAGGTTACTCCAACAAGAGAGGAAGTGGAAGTAACTGTGACTCTAGCTTCCCTGTTGGAAAATCTTCTACTTTCATGTTTGGTAAACAGTTGTACTTGGGTTTATAACTCAAAGAAATATGTTGAAAACGAGTGTTCACATGAAACCACCTTTGTCTGATTTTCTATAAGTTTGTTCTTGGACTGGTTCTTTGAATTTCATTTATCCTTTTTAATTTGTATGTGGGCTAAAAAAGAAATTTGGCCTAAAGGCTTCTCTATATATCTCCTAGTCTAATCAAATAGTAAGGTTTAGAATAGTTAACAATTTTCACTTTGACTCGGTTAAGTAAATCAAGTTTGATTTTTTAATAACTTGAACATCTTGAATCCAAATCGAGAAATTCAAGTTTGAGGATATATACCGATCGTAATAGTCTACAACTAATTTGAAAAAACAAAAAAAATTGTAGATTAGAAATTGACCCATGTGGAAAATATTCAATTATATGATGATCAGTACTCATTAACAATTGTCGATTCATCTCCTTTTATAGTTTTTCTATGTGTAAAAAAAAAAAATATTAGTGATCTTTCAAATATACTATTCTTATTAGTCTAATAACGTCAAAATGTAACAAAATACCGAGAAGCTCATGACTAAATAGTTCGTGGTCTTGTTCGTATCTTACAAAGCAAAAGTCAAAAGCTACAAGGGACTTGAAAGAAGACACTTGTCAACCTAAAGAACCTCGTGCATGCGTGGTAGTTTGAAATCAGACGTGTTAGCTTCAGAGAGACATGAGGAGCGCTCGAAGACAGTCTCCATGTGCCCACGAACTATGATGTGTTTGAGAGTGATGTGTCTCCTCAACCCATCCACCGCTTAGTTTTTGTTTTTTTGTTCGAATCTATCAAATATGCTTGTTGTTTACGTAACAGGTGTAACTATATAAATAGTAAGAGGTGAAGTACTCTCTGTACTCAATTGCATAGTAGTAAAGATGAATACAAAGAAGTTTATCGTATGGTCTCTTTTGTTAGCGGCTGTTGTTGTGGCGGTCGCAGCAGACGGTTCCGTGGATGTCAAGAAAGAAGGTGCTTTTAGTATTTCTGTTTTCTTTTGTATGTTGTTATAAATTTAGTAGAATTCGTATGCTAAGAAGAGGTTTTGAAACAGGTGGAAAGAAAGTAGAAGGAAAAGAAGAGATACCAGTTGCAACTGTACAAAGCAAAGACAACGCTAAGGATAGTGATGATGTACAAAGTTGGGGAGGTGGAAGAGGCGGAGGAGGCAAGGGTTGGGGAGGTGGCGGAGGAGGCAAGGGTTGGGGAGGTGGCGGTGGAGGTAAAGG